ACCCAGTTTACAATCATCTAAACCCAAATCCAGGTAGACCTGCTTAACCAACAGTCGTCCTCCACTTCCAACAAGTCCAAAGTCTCCAACACCTGCCCCAGTTCTCCTCAACTCCTTGTTTTCTGCTCATGATGCTCATTTTCTTCACTGGAGGAGGAGTTTCTTTGGTCATTCCTCAGCACAAGAATGATCCCACAATCCCAAGTCAGAGCAAACAACCAACTCCCACCACCTCCAGTAGTGGCCAACAGAGAAAGCCTACTGAAGAATACAAAAATGAGACCAGTGCGTAACTAGTTCCCTACTGCGTTCTCCCAGCCTCCAGAAATTTTGGCATATGGAAGTCCCAGATCTTTCCTGCTTCCCACAGTTGGCCAGAATGGTAGTGATTAATGAAGCCAACTGGGTAATCTTCTGCCCTGCACTGCAAGAAAATATGCCAGATGAACTTGAGAAGACCCTCTGATGCCACACAGCGTGGCTGACAGCAGCCACATCAGTCATGTACCACACCAAGCTCTCTTCCAGCTCCTCTTGCTTTTTTTCCTCTCAGACACATCAAGGAATGCACTTGGATAGACTGAGACTCGGAAAACTTGCATTCAAACCCCTCTCCTGTAGCTGGTTTCCCATGCAAACACCCATGAGGCAATTTGGGATCCTGTTTTTTTGTCAGCGTAGAAAGAGAGGCTCCTACATGGGTTGAGTCAGAGCAGTTTGGCTCCCATAGGGATATCACTAGAACAGTGACATCTCTCCACTGAACTACAGCTGAAATCCCCTTTGAGTCCTCATCTTGCAAAAGGGGATAAGGCCCTCTGCTGACTCTTCAGAGCTGCTGAGGAGGAAAGATATTAAAGACTTCAAGAGTTCAAGCACAGTGGTGAAGGGGTCTGTAACTAGGCAGAATTTGTTGCCTTTACAGAAGACATCATCATATGTAGGAGGCAAGGTGAGGGAGTGGGTGGCATCCTTGTCCTGTGGGAAAAAAGCTGATTCTTTTCCATGCTCCCTTCTGTGGGTAAATGGGCTCTACCCCTCCGCTCTTGGGCCAAGAAACTTGCAGTTGAACCAGCACATGTACCTGACCACAGACAGCACAAAGCCCTGATTTTGTCACATTTCCACCTCTGTGCTTGCTCTTTCCCAGCTATGCACAAAGCCACAACAAATAAGCCATTTGCCATCCTGGGATGGGAGTAGGGAGGGAGGGGGCAGAGGGAACAGGGGAGAAGGCACTTGCTGTAAGCTCATTTCTCCTCGTCCCTAGCCCTGATGGAATTGTATTCTGCACACACACTGAAACATTAGCATCGGCTGATTTGGAAGGAATATTGGAAATGAAGTGATAGCAGAGTAAATGTCAATGCATTCAGTGTGACACAGTGAGCACCAGATCTTAAACAGCTTCATCATTGTGGCATTTACTGTATCCTGAAATAATATTAATCCCACTGTTGTCCTTCTTGATGGAATCATCCATGAATATGGTTTATGGGACTGGCCAAAGTGCTAATAGGTTAAAAGAACAACCTATCCAGTGTTTCACTAAATTAAGGTCGCTTCATGGGATTTAATGAAACAAGTACTGTGTGGGGTTTCAAAGGACGTTCCTGTAATTCATGTCTATTTAGGGCTCCTGCTAACCAGAAACCTAATTTCTTTGAGTAAAATGGGTTTTTGTGAAGCCTGGCCATGTGAAAAAAGCTTTAAAGGGCAATAATCAGAAGACCTCATCTGTAACACTTTGTTATTTCAGATCACTGTTTTGAAAGTTTGGAGGATGGAGTTATTTAAAAAAAAAAAAAAAAGGAAAGGGGAAAAAAAAGCCAGTTGGCAAATTAATGAGAACAAATGTATTACTGCCATTTGTCTCTCAAAAATGCCTCAATGGTTGAAGTGAGACCAGGACACCATTAAAATACAAATGGTGTAGACACTTAATAAGCCAGATACCCTGCCTCACAAACCAAATATGTAAATTGGCTCTCACTTGCCCAATGAGGAGCTGATGCTCCAAAATTATGGGCAAATGGCATCACCTAAGGCCACTGCCTCAGAAACAGACCTGTATTTCCTTCCCCAATTATGGATGTAAATGAAGAATGAAATGATGAGTGATCGATGAAACGAAGAATAAACGTGTCATTGGAGACAGTGAAGGGAATAAGAGACAGGCAAGATGTGTTTACTGGAACTAGAATTTGGTCAAAACACCAGAGGTGTTACCTGCTCCTGTAAAACTGCACTTGTAACGACCATCACAGACCAATTTTTTGACCAAAGACAAAAATTCACAGTTTTCTCAGGAATAAATAAAGGCTTTATATATTTTGGAATGCTACAGTCAGCTTAGTATTCCCCAGAAATCCAAAACAAGCTAAATATCAATAGCCACACTAAATCTCTGACTCTTAGGTTAATCTCTTGCATCTTTTTTTCCTAGATTCTGGAAACAGACTGCCCATATTGGTACTCAAGCACCCGACTAATCCTGACAGGTATTTGACATTAACATGTGTTGTTAGAAAAAGAGGTGGAGGCACACTGCTTACATTTCCTGCCTTGATGACTCCTCTCCAAAACTTGAAAACATCTATTGCTTGTGCAGGCTCTTTGCTAAAGCAAAATCAGCAACTTAATTACTTCTGCAAGCTGCAAAATAGCCATAGCTCTGCAGTATTATTTGGATTTCTTGCCTTTGGAAGGAACGTCACCTTCACATGGACTCTGTAACAACAGTCAGGCTTAAAGGGTTAAGAAATTAAGTTCAGAGGCAGGACAGATTGCAAGGAAGGTTGTATCATGAAAGAAGGTTACCAAAAAATGCAATTCCAAATTATACTTTGCCATAGGTTATCTTCTTAGTAGCTCTAGTATCCTCTAGGCAGAATCCTCAAGACATGCCTTAACCTTTACAGACATGACCTAGACCTTGGAGTCATATCCTATGAGGCAGAGACTGACTGGGAATGAGACCACCATATATCATGTCTGCATGACAGAATGAAACACACACCCACCACAAGAAGAATAAAACCCTCTCTTGAATGTGTCTGCATTGTAAAAGAGAGAGGGGAAAGATTGATTTATTTAAACAGTACTTAACTAACAATAAACACTATCAAACCAAAGCAAACTAATGCTTAGCCATTAAAGCATCCATTCAATGGCCCATCTGTCATATTGTTAAGGCCTTTAGAAGTTGTTTAACAAAATGTTAAATAAGATGACATTCAGCAGCACAAAATGCTTGACTGGCTAATGCAACAAAAAGGGGTTGGCCTGCTGGTGTTTGATATACTGCTCTGTGCTACAGGCTGAAAGCTCTGGAGCACACGAGGGGGCTCCCGGGCTGTCGCTTTTTATCTCAGTGAACAGTGCCAGAAAAGCCCAGAATCACCACAGGCCAGTGTCAGCAGTATCACACTGGAAGAAAGGAAGAAAATCCCAGTGCAGAAAGGAAAAAATGTACTAACTAAGGAGGAAAAAAGGAAGCAAAAGTAACAAATTGGCTAATTACAGGGAGAAGGAAGAAAGCCCAAATGATCATATTCTTGGTGACCCTTGTTTTTTCCAAATCTAGTTGTTTGTAGGGGTTTTTTTCTCATAGTTTCTATTCCACATTTGGCAGTAAGGTTTGATGGATGTGGTATGAAAACACTTCAGATTAGCTGTGATAGACTATTTAGTAAATATCTAACAACTATTCAAAGACACGCGTGAGTTTTTTTGTTTCTTACATGAAAATGGATTGTTCTCATTCCCTTTCGAGAATAGTGACCCTCATACAATATGACTTTTTAAGAACTGACTGCATCGATGCCAGAGGCTTGTACAGCTTCAAATCTATCATCAGGGTTAAGGTAGTACAACTAGGCAAGGGAGGCAGCTAGTAGGATTCCCGCAGTAGTTGAAGAATGGATACAATTTTGCCCTGAAAAAAAGCCCATTTCCTAAGGAAAAAAAAAATAAATCTTTCTTTCAGATCTGCAGAAGGAAGAACAGGAAAACAGTATTCAAGCTTAGACATGTAACAGTTTTCACAAGACACTACTGGACAGTTCTATTGTCATAGATGATACTCCCCAGCCCCAAATGTCTAACTAACAAAAACAGGAGTCTGTGAAAAGCAAATAGCAACATGCAAATGACTGTTAAAAATCAGAGTAAAATTTTTTTTCACAATTTAAATCCTTCTCCTGGCATTACAAGACTTTTTTAAGACTCAAGACTTACAGTACTATGAAAATTAACCCTTCATCCACCATTATCCTTCAGTATATAAGGGGTTTTTTTCCCATATTCTCTACCAGTGTGTTCTCCTTACCAGTGTTGAGAAGGGGGAACCCAGGAAGCCCAGCTGGCAGGTTCAAATTTCCCAGCAGCTCAGGCCTGGCAGTAAGTACAGAGGTCCTTGGAAAAATCTGGCCTCAAGTGTCACAGGCAGAGGTACCTGGGACCACAAAGGTCTGGGCTTTGTTTCAGCATGGTGACAGCCAATATAAGTATAGTATTAGCAGGTAGAACAGAGCTTACATGGTGGTGCTAGACTGCTGGCCACACAAAGACACCTGTGCTAGACACATCAGGAGAGAGCACTGTGTTAAACTCTGGCCTAGAGAGTTTACAGATGTTTTTGCTGACCTTCAGTGGTAGCCCAATACATGTAAGGATGAACTATGATTAAAAGTAACCAATGTTCCCAGGTAGCTTATTGATTTAGAAAGTATTCCCTCTGAAAATATGCTTTTAATCAAGTGTTATTTAATACCTCAGAGCTGAGATGCAATAGAAAACAGGAATTCAATACATGTTAACAAGTCTAGATAAACACTGACTGACAAAGGCAGAGAGCATACCTTGGCTGCTAACAGATATTAAAATTGCAAGCCTTGTTCCTACTGTGATTGATAAATGGATTTCTTACCTGCTATGAATACACAACTAAAAATAAAATTAAAAACAAAACAAAACTAAACAAAACACTGTTTTCCCAGCCTGAAGTTTATTCTTAGAAAGAGGGGGGGAAAAAAGGAAAGAAATGTGCTATGCCAAGCTGGCTCTAGAACCCAAATCATCTGCCATGGAGGTGCTGCTCTCACACGGTGGTAGTGACACATTAAGTATGAACCAGATGCAAACGCAGCTTCAGCTTAACAGCAAGAGTGATGAGGAAACCACACAACTCCTTTTCCTCTCAAACATCCTCCCACAGCCTCTCTCTGCCTCAGCAAGATCTATTCCAGATGAATAAAGGACCTGGGAAAAGCAAGCAAGACCACAACAGTGTTTTGTTGATGACGTGAGTAAAATAACCGTATATATATATTTTCACTCCTCTCTCACTGAAATTGTCTTGGCTGTCAGTAAAGAATACTTACAGGAACATCCCAGAATGATCATTTTCCAAACTAAGAGCTCTAAAGGTCAGCCTTCAGTTATACCAAATTCAACATTACCATGACTCTGTCACCTCTTGGGAAAGGGGGAGGGATTCTTCAGCAAAACATATGGCAACAGCAGTTTATTTTATCACAGTGCTGTATTGTTTTGAAGTGAAAAAAGGCTTGTAGGGAGAGACAGTATCTTTTATTAGACCATCTATTATTGTTTCTTCCCCGCCCTTTTAAAAGTAGTTTATTTTATGGGTTAAGGGTGACTAGAGCAGAGAAAAGAGCTCTGCTGTAGTACTTACAGACAAGAGCAAAGAAATAGAGATAAAAAGGAAAAATAAAGAAGAAATAAAGACAGGATGATCTATTCAAAAGCTGGCACATGAGGTTTTATTGGAGACAAATACTGGCAGAGTGAGGGGAAGGGAAACAAGAAAAAAAGACTCATCCTGTACAATGAGTACAGGCTGTACAGGCTGAGTCTAAAAGTCAATCTAAAGCTCCAGCCAGGTCAACAGAAAGATTCTCACAGAAGCCAGTACAGCCCCTCCTGTATGAAGTTTTCAGCTACATGAACATGGCCGTGAATATTCAAGCCAGAAAAAGGATGCTATGCCAAATTTTGGACTTTATACGCCTCTCAGCGCAAATTACATAGAGGAACACCAGCCTGTTGTGTGGCAAATATGCCAGCTTTTGACAGAAAGGACAAAAAACTACTGTTTTGGTTTTTCCTCCATTTTGGGGAATATCTTTGCACTGGCCTGACCCCCAAGATAAATATGGCAATTAAAGCTTTCTGCCTCCAAGCTCACCTGAATAACACTACACAAGATAACAGGAGAGAGACAGCACGTGGAAGCTGTGCTGCTACAGCACCACGGAGATCCTGGCTCCCACTGCAGATTCACAGCTTGCATGATCATTAGTTAACTTCAAAGAAGCAGCTGACAACCTTCCACAGTGCATGAAGAAAGCTGAAAAGATCAATTACAAGAAATTATTAGTATGCAAACTATACCTGGGTTCTTCAGGCAACTATCCCTCAACAAGTGTATCAGAGACCAAACAAAAGGATAAATAAATAATCCTAGCTTCTGTTTTCAGCATAAACAGCAGTCAGAAAGAAACCCTCAAGGATATTAATTCTATTGGAAACACACTCCTCTTTTTGTACCAAATATATCGCACCAAAACTTAAATGAAGCTTTTAAAACTAGAAACTAAGAAAACCCATCCCATAAAAGGACAGATTTGCTTTCTTGGTGAATTAGTCACCCAGATAATTGTTCCTCTTTAAAGCAATCTTCCTCTCATCCGAAGTTGTCATAACTGTACCTGTGGTTTTGTTCCAGGGACAAGGTAACACATTGTTACAACATGTGGACTTGCACAGCACTGATATGATGGTTTTGCAGTTCTGGTGAGTATCAGCGTTACTGTAAATACTGTTTTCAGGGACCTACAACATGGATGCTAAAAAGCAAACAAAACTTCTTTATAATGGCTATTTTCCTGAGCTTCCTTCAACCTGCTCAGTGGTTTATTGATAGGATTGTGGTCCTTACAAAATTGGAGGGTTTTCACCTTTAGAGATAGTTTCAGAGGCTTAGCTCTTCTCTAAGTACAGGAAGAAATCTGGTTTATAAATGCATCAGGTACAATATTCCTTACTAATACGAACTGGTGCAGCTGCACTGACATCGATAGAGCTGCACCTTCTAATAACAGCAAAGGATCTGGGCTATAATACCATACTATTAAGGGCAAGTAGGTCTCATCAGTCCTCCCCTAAGGAAAAAAAAATAGAAGAGAGATTGAAATATAAAAACTGAAAACCATCTACTATGACTATATCATCAGGTTCATCTTTCAGGCAACTTCTGTGTGATTGTTTAACCTGAAGTGGCCTTGGATTAGCATGAGAGACTTACAAAACCTGCAAACCACACAAGGGGTCATTCATCCATGAGCCTGTTCGATTCACACCGTTTCAGAACTAGCAGAACACATGCTGACTCGGTGCACTGCCTCACCAGAGAGACTTTAAACCAGATGTGCAGCAATTGATCAAGAATGCCTTTTCCCAAGCACGTCCTTTCTTCCTGTTGAACTACTTGTTATATAGATAGGTCTGCTGAAAGGTTACTGAACCACACAGCCAAGGAAAATGCACGGGCAGAGAGAGGAGCCGCGTCTTCGGCTGCAGCAGAATCCCTCGGATCCGTGTCGAGCCACAAAGAAGCTGTGCTGCTGTTAAACGGCTGATTAGTTTATTCTGCCAAACATCTGAGAGCATCATTAGTTACACAAATGGCTTGAATTATGATCAAATGAGCTGAGTAACCTGCTGCCATGAAACTCCATGTGAGTCCTGTTTTCTCAGATCTCAACATGTGTTACTCAGTGCGAAGCCGTGTCTCCTGGTTCTATCTGATGGCTCATGCAGGCCTGGCTTTAAGAGTGCCCTTCTCATTCTGAGGACCACCCTTCCCACTGAATTGTTTTACCTGAAGATTGCCTCAATATGAATTTCCACCAGACAAGAAGAATTAACACAACATTTTCAGATATCCTTTGTCACTGCACTTTCACGCACTTTTTTTGATAGCAGGTGTATAGATGTGTTGCTCTCTATTTTTTGAAAGAAAAACTAAAAAATCAGAACCGAAAACACATTTCCCTGTTGTATTGAAGCTCAGTGGTGATGAAAAGGAACTAGTGAAACCACTTTATAATTTTGCTAAGACAGGACCAGGATATCTCTCTTAGAACACAGAAAGGGTACCAGCACAATACTGGCCTTGAGATTTACCTCCCTCCTTTACGTTTTGCTGCAACCCAACCATTTATAGCAAAAAGGCTCTGACATAGATCAAAATACATCAGCTCAACCTAATTCCAACTGAAAAAAAATTAAGTACCAGTATTTCAAAGCATCAGTCCTCCAGTCCTCTCTCACTTTTGAAGGCTGACACCTGCTGTGTTAATTCCCAAGGGTGAGTAAATCCCTCTATTGCAGCAAAAGAGAGATTCTTGTATAAGCAAAACCATCAGTTTCAAATTATATTTCCTCTACCAGGTCTCTGAACTCTTTGCTCAGAAAGTTAATTACCTAACTAGATTCACTCAGAAATGTGGGAATCTCCCATGTATTTCCTTTCGTCCTGCAAGATATTTTACTAAACAGGAGTTTATGCAGAATCAACACGGTGGAAAAAATACCTGCTGTTCTCAATGCAGTGACATTAAAGCATTTTATCCTGCAATATAGGAGAGTGTTTCTGTGCACAAACTACCTCAAAATTGCATGGGGAGGTATCAAGAAACACACAGGAGCACTGACGAAATATTTGTAGGGATAGTCACCAATCAGTGTGTTCTTCCTTAATTTTAAAAGTTCCAAAATTAAGAGTTTCATTCTCACCTCTGGGTATAAATGGTTTTCTAAAATCTGAAGGGGAGAACTGCATCACACAAATCCACCGCTGCCACCAGGAACAGTTACACTCATTTAGCCATGACTGATCAATCAAGAGGCTTCACAGACATTTCCATGCCAGCCCTGTCAGACAAGAAATAAGCAGCCAGGTTCATTCCAATTAGTGACCTGCCCCATACTTAGTTTCTTCCTTCCTGTTTTCAAGCACTTCCTGCAGAGAGCACTCGAACTAGAGTATAACTGCTAGTAGCTAGAACTACAGCAAACACCTGGTGAGATGCTACAGATGTTATTTTGGATCATCTGGTAAAATAAAATCACAAGAAACACTATTAGCTTTATTAAGAGTGAGTCCAAGATTTAATCATGTTGCATTCATGTGGGTTGGAATTTTCTAAGTGGAAAAGTGCTTCAAGTGAAACAAGTATTTTCTGAAAAAAAATACAATTTGCATTCAAGAAATTATCATTCCTTTCTTTTAGGATAATCAAAACAAAATTATTCAGTTTCAAGGTAGATATACTTATTTGAGTTCACCTGAACTCCTGCAGTGCCTCATGACATTTCAGTTTTCAACTACGACACCACTGACAGATTACACATCGCATATATTGGCCTGGAAAATATATAAATTAGTATCCTGATAATAATTAACACAATAGAAAAATACCACTTTACTTCTGCCGGGAATCCTTTTGTTCAGAAATATGTTCACAGATCATGTTTGATTGCAACAGCCTGACATAATGTATGGGGGGAGGGTGAGGAAGTACACCACAAATAAATAGTGTATTTATGAATTCCAACAACTCTTAGTGTATGAAGATAAGAGAGAGAGAACCTCAGTGGGACTTTTATGCCTAACACCTTCAGGCACCCAGCCCACAGCAGCAAACTTGTACCAGTCACTAAAATAAGTTGACTCATTCTCTGTCATGATACCTTTTCCTATTGCTGATGAGGAGATACTTCCCAAAAATAAAACCATGGATCTTCATATTCCAAATTGCCACTGAAAAATAATATTTTTCCTCCTTGAGGGACAGGTAGACTTTGTTAATAGCTCTCTTTTTCACAAATTCACCCTCAGATTTCTAAGAACACTTTCATTACCCAGCTCTTATAGTTCACTGCAATTGTGATACAACTGTTTTCATTAATTAGAAGAGAATAGCAATGTCCTGATCTCCTCTCCTGACAGAAGAAAAGATATGATCAACAAAATTATGCTCACTCAAAGGTGGAGTAAAAGAGCAACAATGCCTCACAAATTTGCCACAAATACATTTCTGCAGTTGTTGCATGTTATGTTTATGGATTTACTATGGCTTCCAAGATGATAGCTGCAAACTCTTGTTTTTATGAAAGGACATCTGGATCAGGCACGTATCCAGAATTAGTATTCTTCTTGCAGCAGAACTCCAACATCTGCTCCATATGCTATTGTATCTTGTATACTGATTGACTTCCAACAGAACTGGATTTTGCAGAGTTTACTACAGCGCTGTTAGAGGGCTCATCAATATGTTTCTCCACTTAGAATTCAAAAACCTACTCAGCATTATGAAATATAAGCTTTCTCTCCCAGGAAGCCTCTCACTGTGCAGTTCTGTCCCAGCCTTTGCACTGCTCTAGTTACAGAGAGCAGACATCAGTTCTTTGTCTGCAATAGTCTTAAAAAAGGCTTTGTTCCAAAAGTCCTTAATGGACTCCTAAGATATAGGGGCATTTTACCATCAGTAATCTGCAACTGCTCAAGGGCATTTTTTTCCTGCATAGCATTCTCCCATGTTTTCTGTTTGATGCTTCTGAATGACTTGGAGTAGAGGGCCAGTCCCAAGCAGACTGATAAATTATCAGTGTCTAGAGAGAGAATACAATGCTGAGGAGAGGTCTGCCAACAGGTCCTCAGAGCATGTCATTTTTATAATTTCCTTTAATTTTTTTTTTTACCTTATAGGAAAAGTCTCATTAGATTTCCCAAATCTCAGATGTTCTTTTCCAAATATCTCCTTTTAATTTGGCAAATAACCAGAGTATTGCTTGCTTTTTATCTTCCACTTGCTGGTTTGCCAGCACAATTTCCTTCACACTAAAATTTTCAAGGAGTACACTTTAAAGCTTTATATCAAGAATACATTTCAATACACAGTAGTTCTACAATTAAAGGGTCTCTACCGACAGGTAAATATACTCATGCTCTTCTTTGTACCATCTTCTCCTTCAGATACTCCCTACCTAGTAAAGTTACTCCTCAGTTTGTTTTCTGCCTTGCATGTAAAAAAAAAAGATTTTGACTTTTGAGGACTTCAGGATGTTATCATCCTCTAAGACTTAATGTTGTTTTCCACACAAGATTCATTATTCCACCACATATCTACACTCATCTGACACTCACCAGGCTGTTCTACATGTGGTCTCAAACACTTTGTTCCATCAAGTGTTCATCAACTAAACTTCTCCCCTTGATCTCACACTCTGTTACACAAAACTTACAAGTAAGTACTCGTGGGTGTATTGAGGAATTCAAACTGATCACTATCACACCTACACCTTGTCTCTCCTGCTTGAAGACAAATGTAAGACAAATGTTTCATTTACTCTCCTTTTTCCTACCTTTTTTTTTTTTCTCCTAGAAAGGCATGATACTGAAGGCATTTTTCAAAGGTATTTTCAGCTCCACTTGGGATTTTGCTGAGCAGTGAATCATAAGTGACATTTACCTTCTCACCCACATAGTGTGTTTGACTTATTTGGTCACCAGCTTCAAACTGGTCCCAAGAGATTTCTGAACCAGCTTGTCCACTGCTGCATCACTGTCAACCAGAGCTCCCCCAACCCCTCCAAGCTCGCTGTGTTGTGTCCATACACAAGAAAAACGCTGTCGTCCATTTGGGTTTTCAATCAGTTTCTCCCACATGCCACTTCTGTGTATTTTTCTTCTAACCAGATCTTCGTCAAATTTATTTCCATTTGCCTCCCCCAAATGTTTTATGCAGCCTGCCTACTGCATGCTTTATGACTTCCTCCCCTTTTCACTGCAGACTTCTTTGCCCTCTTGACAGACAGTCTGTGAGTGGAGCCTGTATCTAAACACAACCGTTGATTTTTTGCTAGTTCCTTTTTTCCTCCATAAAGGACATGCACTATACATCCCATACATTGATTCCTCTCACATCAAAACCTCCTAGTAAGTATGGGATTATCACTACAACTCCACCTTGGGCTCTACACATAGAGAGCCTATCTCCGGCCAAAAGAAAATACGGATGCACAGACACTATCATAACATCTGTGGAGACCAGTCAAAATTGCCAAACTAGCAATTAACTTCAGATATCTCCAGTAAGACTCCCAATGACCTGTTGCCCTCCAGGGCCCAAAGGAAGGATGCCACTCATCCTCAAGCTTTCACAGTCACGTCACCTCATCCACTGAAGGGCAAAGGTATGTGACAGTGATTCCTGCCAGCTGCAGCTGAGTTTTCAATCTTACCATCGTCAGGGAAAGCTGAGGTTTGTGGCTGCATTTTCTTTAATCTCTTTCTCCAATACCTTGGTCTTTGACTTACTGTTCCATTTCTGGGTTATTATGATTATCACCACAGGAGGAGTAACCTGCTTCATTGAAACCTACAGGTCTTTCACTGCCTTCCAATGCACATTCAAAAAGCTGGTGTTTAAATACCGTTTGCTTGCCAAGGCACAGGATGTTTTTGTGGAGTTCACCAGGGCTGCTATTATTATTATTATTATTGTTGTTGTTGTTGTTGCTGCTGTTGTTGTTGTTGTTGTCCTTATTTAGACTCTGCACCTGCTGAGGTAAAAAGGCCTGCAATGGAACCATTTTCACCTCAATAGGGTGGGTGGAAGGATTACGTAAACGACTTCTCTGTCTGGAAAGAGGGGCCTTGACAGGTCCCATGTTGTCAAATGACAATTGTGACTTCTTGCATTTCAAAAGTCACGCTCAGATGGTTTCATCTGAAACCCTCTGGGTAATAGTAGCCTTTTGAGGTTATGATATCTCTGGATGGAATTCAATAAAAGAAATTCACTTTCAATTGAAGCCCTGGAACACTGCCAGACAGCACCAACAATGCCGTACGTCTCCAAAGAAAATTGGACTGATCCCCCCCTCCTTTTTTCTCCTCCCCTTTCCATTTCTCTCTCCATCTTTATTTGTGCTTTCAACCTTGTTTGTGGATTCCTTCTTTTTGATATATTTTCTCTCCCAATAAGCTCGGGTTCCCGAAGGTTTAAAAAAAAAAAAAAAAAACATTTGGGACTGAAAGAGTAGTAGCCAGTAATAGAGGGACACACACTCACAGTAGCAACGACAAGCCACTCTCAATAGCTGACCTTTGCCTTATATGTGAAAGGAAACAGAATAGAACCTCTGCTCTAGGTGAAGGGGGGATATTATTACAGCCAACACCTTCCTAGTCCTTGTTAAGAAGGCTGGTTAATGCACTAATTTATTTGTTTAGTTTAAGGCCAAGGGAAGGGGAAAAGCTCACAAAACCTGCCTCACTGCCAGAAGCAAAAATGTTGGCTTTTTGCTTGGGTTGTCATTCATGGTGACTTGGGATTTTTTTTTTTCCTCCCACCCCCTTTTTCTCTGGGTTTGGGAAGGGCTGCAATTGTCTGTCTTCTCTTGTTTTTGATCATCTAAGCAGATTAACGAGTGTGCTTAGTTGGGAGGCAGAAGATGGAGAAGATGCATCACTCTTGTGAAAGCATTCATTTTCTCCAGTGTTTTCTTCACCAGTGACCTATCTCTTGAGTTGTTACTGTTACGTGATTTGATTTTGATCAAGTCAAATGGCCATAGGAACTGCATAACAAAAAAATAAACCTCCCATTCCTTGGAAATAGACTATAGATCTCTTTGGTAGACTTTGTGCTGAAGTTCCTTGTGGTTTGTTTGCATGTGAGTCACCTTGGGCTGTAAATCCCTTCTTTTGCCTCAGTTCTACAATGATTTACTCTTCTTACATTAGGTTAAGATTTTAAAACCAGTAAAGTAACAGCAATGTTAGAGTTAAAAAAGTCTGACCTGCTTCCTCTCCCTACAGCGTTATTTGTCCTTTTATCCCTCCAAAGCTCACAAGCTACACAGGTTCAGGTCTGGTCGAGTGTCAGCTGAGAAAACAGGCATGGGGTTGGGGAGGGAAGAGGGTAATTTGTTCTGTATATGGGGCTCTCTTCTGATCAGCCACATCAAAAGAATAGTAGGGGATGCTCAGACACCATCTTTTACAAGAGAGGTCAAACCAAATTCCTGAATCACAGGGATCCTTGGGATCCCTTTGCACTTTCAAGAGAGTTGCCTGATTGTTAGCATCAAAGCCACATCTAGAACACAAGATTCTGAGCTACAAGTTTAAATCCCACTCTCATTTCAGATTACTACATTTTTAACTGTTTTCCCTAAACTGTTATGTATATAGTATTAAATAGCTGTGATAGGACTCGCTGATCCCATAAGAGCAGTTGCAGCTATTGTTCCTTGCAAAGATTTTGCTTACACAAATTGAGAGTATCAACAATAGCATTAAACATACCCAGTCCCAGTTTCCAGCAGAAAACTCTTTAGGTGCTGCAGATGCAAGCAGATGACAGCTCTGGACAAATTTGTTTGCACAAATATTAAATGGGTATTACATGCCTCTAACACACAAGATTTTCCCCTGAATTTCTCACAAGCACAAGGAAATTAAACAACTCCTCTAAGTTCACCCAACAGCTCAGTGACAGAGTGAGGAACAGAAAGCAGACCTTCTCACTTCCCCTCTCACACCCAGTCCTGACAATACATCACCTCCTTAGAGTGCAGGCTGGGTGTAAGACACCATCCCAGGGGCCAAGGTATTAACCAGGTACTGAAATATTTAGGTCCATTTACTGCATCTCAGCAATCGATATTAGAATAATCATATCTAATCATATCTAATCAATATCAGAAAATGGTAAAAAAGAAAAAAAAAGAGCAGCAAGTTTAAAATCACTGCAGAATTACTTCCCTAGACTGTTCAGTATTTGAAAGGCTTTAACTTTGTCAAGAAGCAGTAATTCAAAGCTCTCCAGGCAGATTAGTTCATGAATACCTCGTCAACATTCTTCCTGTTGTTTATCTCCTCCACTTGAAATTTTTTTTCAAAGAAAAAAAACCTAAATAACAAACATTTGTAAGATACTTAAACATGCAAGACAACAGACTTGGGGTTTTGAAGCAATTCAGGCATCTGTAGTCTAATAATCTACTTTTTTCTGTAGCAATAATAGAAAAATATTCCTTGCAGAGTACAACAGAAGGTATAATCTGCAAAAATTACAGACATTCTTCACTTTATTCTTGAAAAAGAACTTTGATCTACAGAAACAATCAGAATTATCTGTTGCTTCCTGTTTTTGAAACTGTTGAGCAAAAACCAGAGTCCTGGCCTGGCTCACACAGATAAACAGACCAGCTTCACAGATAATAAAATTTAGTTAGTGCTAGTGGATGTATATACACTGGTAATTCTTGTATGTAGGCATAGGATGAATAGTAAAGTTGGCATCAAACAATGAATAGGTGCAGTTCAACTTACCAAGATGAGCATACTCTCTTCTCTTGGCAGCATGGGTTTTATTTGATTTGTTACTAACAGCTCTAACTTCAACACTGCTATGTGAGGATCAAGGTCCTTTCCTCCATTTTTAATTTTAGCACAGCTTTTTCTAATTGTCAGTATAGGGCATACTATAAAACAAAATAAACACATACTTATTTACATCAAATAGCATCCACATTGCTAACAATTAAAATCAAAATACCCAGTGAGTTTATAAACAAAGACCTTGTAACCAGACCAAGAATCTCATTTTCATGTTCTTCTTCCTTCCATAATTCAGGTTATTAACAAACAAGTTGTTTTTATAGCTGGGAAGAATATAAAGCTTTGCTTAGAAAGTATAACTTGTACTTTATTCCCATGGATAAACACAAATTCTTTAGGAAAACAGAACCATGAGTTCTAAGTTGTTCAAAAGCAGAAGGGTCCAGAAGAAAATAATTTTCCTCTAGCAAAGAGTCCATACTGTCCCAGAATCCTGAATAGCAGTGAAATTTAGTTATAACATACAATACTAATTCAAAAATTCAAGGATCTGGGAATTTTGCAGTGAACAAAACTTAATAGGATACCAAGCTGGGTGTTCTAGCTATGGTCATAAGTCATTTCATGAGAAGAATTCCGATCCATCCCCAAAGTCATGATTTTCTTTCAGGCTATTTTGTTATAATAGACTGGATTATCACTTGGTGTTCCACTAAGTTCTCTCATTCTTTTAAGATGATCACTGCAGCATAGCACTAAGAAAGTAATTTATTGTTTTAAACTACTGCAGAGAGTGCCTCAGGTGACCAATATTGGCACCAAAATAACAGGTCTGACTCCCATCAGCCTGAGGCGTGGGTGTTCCTGGGACTATTTCCAAGCTAGACCTCCTTCTCACAGTGTGAACATTAGGGCTGACACTGTTCCAAAGTCTAACCTGAAAAGGAGCTTTTAAAGCCCTATAATTATGCTTGTTCAGCCTTGCAAAGCCATTGTGAAAATTAACCAGGATAGGCAGAAAGTCTGCTCATATGACATTCACAGTAAAGAGCAGTGTTAATAAAAGGCCTGATGAGGAAAGGAAGATGCATACCCCTCAAAAAAACTTCAAAACAACATTCAAAATCCCAAACAAAACTGCCCATGTATTATCATAGGTATGTAAGACTTCTGTGAGAATGTTCATTTTCTCTTCAGATTTTGATATGAGCATGATATGCCTTTAATTTTCACTTCTTGAAACATGTTTAAATCAGCCTCCTTTTCTGCCCATGAAAACACTGCTGGCCCAGCAATACTGAATTCAAGGATGAAGTGCATTTGAGTTTTCACTCCCACACTACAAAGTTTACCATCTACTAGGAAGATATTGCAAGACAGCAAATGCCTGCAAAGAAACATTCAAGAAGCAAAACAAAAGACAGTTAAAAAATCATGATTTTCAGACAAAAAAATATTCTAAACCCAGGAAATTTTTGTTCTGTTCCTAAAAGACAATCTGAAAAGAAATACTTCAAAATAAAATCTATCCTATTTGATGTGGTAATACTACAGTGAAGAGAGTTTTAATCCCTCTTCTGTGATGACACATTGTCATCTCCAAGGCAAAAGCTGCCCAGCTATTAGCTCACATAGACACTGGTGAAAGTACTCATCACTTCCACCACTATCTTCTGCTTCTGAGAACAAATCTCTCCACAGCCTGGAGTCCTCTGGGGGCCAGAAGAATCAAACTACAAGTCAGAAATTCTAATAATAAGAAGAAAGACGTTCAGCAACTTTCATTGCTGATAATGCTCCAAAATCCCTTGGCACCTTTTAGCCTCTCTCCCATGCAATGATTCACCTCACCACCCATACATTTTTAAATTCATTAATCAGCCCTCACACTAAAAGAGAGGAGAAAGTTTCCCATACAAAAAGTCTCTTCTGTAATAATATTCTCTGTAAAAAAGAGTTTTCCTGTTGTTGAAAAAGGCAAGTATTCAGGCAAAAACAAACAAGAACAACCTACCAGGATTAAATCCCAGTTAATTAGAAAACAAACCCAACAAGCTAACAGTAACACTGGCTTCACGTACTACAGCCACTCCATCACTGACCTCTCAGCTCTGATTCTCCAAGATGCTCAGTCTACAAATGACCTTCAAAATATCACCCTGAAAACTAAAACTTCTCAACACAGTGATCGCTAGAGACTGAAAAGATATTCTTATGTCACTAAATTTCTCATTATGCCTCATACAGCCAACCCATCTAGCGACCTACCAGTCCTTCCCCAACAAGTCTGATGACCTCAACCATTTCTCCCACTTCGCATCTCTGTCACTACATCAACCATCTTTCTCTGATTCATGAAATCATTACAAAGAAGTAAACAGAAATTCACTCAGAACTATGCAAGCAGCTACAGGGACTTGATCCCATTCTTGGGGTGGTCACCTGCTCTGCTTTCAGCATCTATCCACTGGGTAAAGAGTTCAAAACTAGAGGACATCAGGGTTGTTGCACTGACAAGCTCCCAACCTACCCCATACACAAAGAACAGCTTTTCCTTGTCTTGTTTATTGAGGCTATGTTGGGCCATCACAACAGAACTGAGCAGGAAAACTGCTTTCCAAAGCTTCTGGGTTTTGTTGTGTTTTCCTCTTTCTTCCCCTGTCTCCCACCCACCCCAAAATCTGAACCACAGGCATGGTGCATCTGGAAGGGTAACTGTGGTCTGTAGTTCATATGGATCACTTCAAACCAGGGCTCACACAGGTGTGTGAGGGGAAAGGAGGAGGAAGGCTTGAGGAAAGAAAATTTTAAAAAAAAATCACATGGATTAGAAATGTAAGCTGCAGATGAAAGGTTATCATTCCCTATTCATTATCGTGTTCCTTCAAGGGACCCTGGCTTTCAGCTCTAGTTTTTGGCCGGGAAACTCCCCAAGCTAATTTTAGTGAACTCATAAAACAGGACCCTAGGGATGATACAATACTCTGTGCAACCTCTAAACAGCAGGAATGACTAACACAAAATGACAAATGAAAGGAAATTCCACCAAAACTGTCTACTTGTGAACAAATATTCCAACTTAGAGGTTAAGCAATATCCCAAGTGGATCTGAGTTCTGGGCAAACATTGTGACAAAGACATCCTTTTCTTCCTGATTTTACTTTACTTGTTTTTTTAATCAGATTCCTTTATAACAGAAGTTGGGTCAAGAAAGGGATCTGTATTTAATTTCACTGAGGTAGCTTGTTGATCTCAATTCAGATACAAACTGAAACGGATTAGTTGGATTCAAACCCATTTATTGTTTGCTTTACAATAAACCAAGTTTGAAAGAGAGCCCTGAAACTCTCCAAGATACTCTTGTAATATCTCTGCTTCAAAAAGAAGTCCTCAAAATAGCCTTTAAAGGCATAGCTTTTTTTACAAACAAACCCAGCCATAAATACTGCACTTGAACCAAGAATCAAAAGCAGAGATATCTTGAGCTTTTGCCATGAATCATTACAGAGCAGAATGCAGGCAGATTCTGCCACACTTCCCTTGGATATGCTGGGGGAGCTGTGAGAGGAACGAGGTTCAGAGAGTCATTGGATTAGTGCTCTGATTTCTCAGTTCAAACCAAAAGAAGCCAGCAAAAGCTTGCCTTCCTATCCTCTCCTCCACATTATATTAAAACCAATAACAAATTACTCCTGCCCACAAACTTGAGATTGCCTGCACCTTGTCTGATTTTCCTTCTATCTACAACAGGAGACAAAAAATCTGAAGTGGCAGCCCACATAGCTGAGGGATCATCAGGAGTGATGTGATACTGGGGTTGGACAACCACAGACATTCTCCTAAATGCTGGGGCAAGGAATGGCAAGGAAGGCTGGGTGCAGTTTGGCAAAAAAACCCATCAAAATGGCACAAATCCACCCAGAGCAGACCCACTGCTGCAGTGATATCAACATTGCTCCAGAGATCTGGGCAACCTGGAACTGTACTCTGGGAAAAACCAAACAGAAGCAGCAGCTGTGCCCTGCATGGATTTGCTATATCCACTGTCACGTGCTGCCCTGTGGAAAGTCATGGGGCCTGCTCCCTGCCAGACCCACAGGGAAATGTGGATGTATCAGGACTCTCCCCCCAAGGGCCTGCAGTGCATTCTGCAGTTTCCTACTCTTCCTTCTGAGTGTTTCCAGGATGACAGCATTTTCTGGAGAATGGCTCCTATTTAGGTACCTCAGCAGAAGGGCAAAACTTCCACAACTTTCAGCATCCGAGCGTTTTAGCTGGTAATGGTTTTTTTGAACAAGAAAGTCTTTGGCCTTTGCCCACTTGAAAAATGCCACTGCAAATGACACACAGCAAACATCCAGAGCCAACAATTCCATGGAAACTGCTGCTTGTTGAACACTGATGAAAATCCAGCTGCCTGTATCCTGTATGGTACCACCAGCTTCTCTTTTCATCCTGACCAAGCAGTCCTCATTTAGCCAGGGAATGCGAAAGGTGTGAAGGATGCCTTTCTTTCCAAGCCTTTCTGTGTATGCTTGGCCAAACCATAAGCTGATTTATTTAAAAAGAGCAAATGGAAGCTATGCATCATCTGCAGCTCTCCCAGGCTAACAGCCAAATGACTGTTTGCTGTAATCTCTACACCCAGAGAAGTTTCTTTTGTTCTTAAAATAGCATCGGTCACTGCAGAATGGAGACACCAGGAAATTGAAGACTATACATACACATACATTTTGTCACAAATCCTGGGGCTTGTACATACTATTCAATTTAATTATAGTTTTAAATTATTTGCATATCACAGTACTACAGCTTCTGCAGATCAATGAATATATCAATATTAGGTGTTAAATAAGAATATTAAAAGACTCCTCTAATGCATAATTTACTCCATGGCAAACAATCCCTTCCTCTCAGATCATTACTATTGCAAATTTGGAACCTCATCTGAGGGGGTTTCCCTAATGCATTTCCTAGAAATTAAATTATTCATAAAAATATGATTTATATTATGATTTTTTAATTCAAGTTGAGTAGCACTGTGGGAATGTGCTATTTTCTTAACTGAAGGAGTATAAAAACTTGAGGGGAACATGGCAAGGTCTGAGTTGGAATGTATTTATTTTGAATGTGTTACTT